TATTCTAATGTTTATACTGGTTTGCTTGCTGGCAAATGTATTTGGCCAATATAGAGAGCATGATGTTTTGTTTTTCAGTGAAATGAATTAGTGAACACTTACTTATGAGAAGCAAATAGCAGTTAGTTTTGTCTTTTTATCTTGAATGTAGTTTTCTTCCCTGTATTTATGTTCTTTCATCTGTATTATATATGTCCATTGCTCTATTTACTTTAAGTTACTTCTGCTTTTTAAGAACCTTGCTGAACTCAGTATGGTTGCTTTGGTCCTTAACCCCAGAACTTGGGAGAACACGGTGGAAGAATCTCATGTCCAAATCCTATCTGGGTACATAGTAAGAAAACCCCATCTCAAACAAAAACAAACAAACAAACAAACAACAGAAAACCAACAACAACAACAACAAAAAATCTTGCCTCTTTGTAACTTTGCTATTTTTATTTTAAATAATTGCGGAATGTTAATTAAGTAATATTGGATCATGGAAATGTATCTCTCACATTCTTTTGTTAACCTCTAAATAATAGTGCTTATAAGAAATTAAAGCTTTTGTCTGTTACCATCTGTATGGAGAAACAAGTCATTTCTATGTGGTTTTAGCCCAGGCCTCTGTATCACCATTGATTCTCACACCAAGTGTTAAGCGAAAACTGCCAGGAGAGTCTTCTCATGCCTTCTCAAGTAAGAAAAGGAAGTCCATCAAACACAACTTGAACTTTGAGCTGTTGCCAAGTCATCTCTTCAGCAGCAATTCTACACCAGTATCAGGTAGCAAAGAGAATCTTTATCATTTGGGTTGTAAACATTAACATGAGGGCCTGTTCTTAACAAACAACTACTTAGATTAATACCACTCACAAGAGCCAAAAGTCACATTTTTCCAAATTTCTGTATTTTATAAGATCTCATATTCTTTAAAAAACAAACAAACAAACAAACAAACCACCAATTTAATAAAAATAAAGTGTTTATGTTTTATGGGCAAGTCCAGTGAAGTTATGGTAAATAACCGAGCATTTGGGCTTCTGCGGATGGCATGGATGCTCAGGTTTTATGTGACTGGACATACTAGGTCCTGTTTCCTCAGGATCCATATGTAGGGCTCTATTGTTATCTTCAGATAGCTAAAGTTAGAAGTTTCCCAGAGTCTATAGTGTTATTCAAGTAGGTTTACAAAAGCCTTAAAACTTGGGGCAAGGTAATCAGCATATAGTTTCAGATGTTTGTTGTTTCTCTTCATTTCAGTGACATTCAAAATCCTATTAGCTATTGAATATATGTTTTTATTGCCATAGTCTTAGACTTAGTTTATTCTTACTTACTCTTTTAGCACACAACAGAATATAAATTGGCTTATGTTAACTTTATCATCAACCAAAAGTGAAATGAAACAAAACCTAGGGATGAAACCCAAAACCTAGGGGTTCCCTATCTCAGTTTGTCACATTAAAACAGAATCTGAGTCTATAGATTTTAATAATTGTTTGCTTCAGGCACTATTGAGTATTTCATTTTGAGCACAAGAGCTGACTGATGAGTTCTTCCCCAAAGTCTTTTGGTTTAGTTTCTTTTGAGGGTTCATACTGTGCTTAAATTGAACAGAGTAGCAGGTTGTGGTTTTCCAGAAGGAAAAACCCTCACAGGTTGTCGGGGCTTGTTACAGTAGAACGACAGGAAGGCTCATGACGCCATCTGTGGCACCTTCAGTGACCACAGGTTGGAGACTTAATTTTAAACTCCTAAAGAATTCCATACTTTGTGATGTTTACAGTCCTATCCAGATCAGAAGGCTTCTTAGTCCAGTGGCCATTGGCAATTGTAGTCTTCTGTTAGCTGCTCCCCAAAGTGGAAACGTTCTTGTGTTATTCTGAACTGAGTCTGAGTTTGAATCACCAGTGAATTTTCATTGTGAAACTTCAGCAGTAATTCTATTGCTGTTAGCTCTCCATCTTTCTTTGGTCTGCTTACTTAGTCACTAATCAATAAAATATATCTGTAAGTATGAAAGTAGGTTGGTTTCTACATTTGAGATTAAAAAGACCCTCTTTTTTCCCCTCAGTGTATAAAGACATTATTCTACAGTTCATGTGCTACTAGTACTATTTATAATTTTGTGTCTAATTCATTTACATTATTCTGCCTACTCTAACTGCTGCTTGTGACCACATATGTTTTCAAGATGCTTAAGTCACATTGGGTGTGTTATATTGACCTCTAAAATGTTCTTAGCCTAATGCATGCAGAAGTCTCTAAGATCATTCTTTATTTTTGTGACTAAACAAACCCATGAGGACCTCTTTGGACACTTTGTAGGTTTTTGTCAATAATGAATTGACAGTTTGTATTTACTGCATATGATTAGGACATAAGTCAAATGTATATGTACCTCTGTAACCTTCTCCATAATATTTTTTTCTTTAACAGATTGCATGGTATAATAATGAAATTGAACATTGTTGTAAACACAAATTACTTGTCTAGAACCTGGCAGGGATGAATGGGTTAGGCAGTTTTTGTTTGGTTGACAAAAATTATTGGCAAATTATACTTGTCTGGTACATGTTTGGCTAGCAATTGTATCCTGAATGCTCACATTCAAAATTTGTCAATAGTTTAATTTTTTTAAGTTTTTTATTAGCATATATTATGCATAATGGGTTTTACTATGACATTTTCATTCATATATCCCTTCCCACTTCTAGTAATCCCTGACAGTAATATTTATGTTCACCAAGGAACTGTATTTCCAGAGTCTGAAGCCATTTAGTAAGTGATAGACAATTTCTACTGTCTCCACAGCTTGCTCTTCAAAGTTTGGCAGGATATACCCTTCTCTTATTACTGTTTAAAGCAGATTAGTAATGTAACCTTTAATTGGCAACTGTTAAATAGGAGATTAATAGTTTCCTTTTTAGTCAGTTATTGACACCTGAAACCTCTAACTAGAAATTGTGTTTCTTGTTGCAGCTTGGATGTAGAAATTAAACTTAAACCTACTTGCTGCAGTTTTATACTTTGAAAAGTAAATGTGTGTGATGCATTACCTGCCCTTCTTTTTATAGTTCACTTTGATACGAGCCCAGATGGGTCGTCGCAGAGTTCACTCTCTCCCATCGCCATGAGTGGAAACCACTTGATCAGTACAGACCTAAGGCGAAGTAAAAGAATTGCGAGCAAAAAAGTTTACAGGTAATCTGTCCAAGACATGTCTTCTCACTGGGTGAGCGGTGGTGTGTGCTGTCATTCTACCAAAAGTTATATATTGTTTAATCATAGTTTTCAATCTCTTCAGTCTATACGTTCTTATTCATTATAGGCCCTTCATATATCATCACAAAAGAAGCAAAAAAATACTAAATTGAATTCACTGTCCTTGATAAGAAATCTTGGTCTATGTTGATTGTATAATTTTACATTTTGTTAGTTTTTGCAAGTAGTCTGTTCTAATGATCCTGGTTTATAAATGACTAAGAATGATAAATCATTTTCATATACAGATATGCATTTATATGTAAGATGTTAAAATTTCAGTCATTTTAAAAATTATTTAGTTATTAACAATATGATTTTTTTTGACTAAGTAGATTTTTATCTTGCAAGAATTTCTGATATTTATGCCAGAAACTGATGTTTTAAATTGTACTCTTTAGGGTAGAGTCAGGAAAAGCAGGCTGCTTCTCTCCTAAAGTCAGTCGTAAAGAAAAGGTCCGAAGATCTCTTCGCCTGAAATTTAGCCTGGGAAAAAACAGAGACTCGGTAAGTGTCTTGTCCTGAGACAAAATACCCAACAAGCTACACAAAGGAGCAATCCCTTTGGTCGGTGTTTTTAGAAGTGTCAGCTCATCCTGGTGGGGAGAATGTGGCAAGTAGAGCCCTTCACGTCATGGCAGTTGGGAAACAGACAAAAGGAATGCAGAAAGGGGCTGGGGTCGGGGTGGGTACCATCCAGATCTAAGCACGCATCCTTCCCTCCAGCTCCCATCTTTACCACTTCCCAGTAATGCTCTCAGATTATGAATCATTAATGGATTCATTCATTCATTGGGCCAGAACCCTCTTCTAATAATCTCTGGAAATGCCATCATAGATAACTGCAGAGGTGTGCCTATCTATTGTTATAGGCATTTCTTATTCACACTCACTATTAAGAACATTGTAGTGGCTTATGGCTTTATTAATCTGTTAGCATAACACATCATAGTAACATTAAATTGTAGACTTAAACACCCTCTCACGCTTGCCTTCCTAATGAACCATGCACTACTGCTCTCTATCAACATTTCATCTCAGGACTCCATAGAACTGCTCTCATCAGGGGTGGGGTGCACTCCTTTAGCCTCATCTTAGTTAGACATCCACAGTAAGTTCTCTGGATCACAGTACTCTCTAAAGCAAACTGATAGATGTCTTTGCTTGCAGGGTTTTTTGTTGTTTGATTTGGTTTAGATTTGGGGAGTGTTTGTCTTTTTTTGTGCTAAACACGTGTTGTGGCACTGAACTCTGGTTTCTGCTTCTTCCTTCTTGGCTGTCTGTTTAGACAAAACCTGTTGTCCACACCGTCCTTGCTGCAGCTCTCTTCTTCCTGCTACGTCCATTGCAGTTGTGCAGCATGCTCTTCCAACAATTCGGGCTAGCCTGGGCACGTTCTTGCTTCCTCACTCACATCTCGTGGGCCACATCTTGTCTGTTCGAGAAGTCTGCTTACTTTCTGCTCTTAGCTACCCCCAATTGTCTTTTCTCCTGGATAACTGCAGTTCATCTACTAGCGGGTCTGCCTGCTTCTACCCTTTCTGCAATAGTTTCCCCAAAAAACAGTCTTCTAAAAAAGCAAGTTGTCATTGCTCTGTTCTGAACCCTGCAGTGATATTTTTATTCTGACTGAAGCCCCAGCCTCCTACATTAACCTGCATGCTCCATACGCTCTGTTCCCAGAGCACATCTCTGAGCCCTGCTCCTGGCACTCCGCCTCCTCACTCTGCTTCCTTCCTGACTCGCTCCAGCTGTAGAGGCCGCACTGCTAACTTCTCCCTAAAATGCGGTTGTGCACAAGTCTTCTCTTGTTCTTGCCCTTTATCTTCTCATCACCCTGTGTGAAATTATTCTCCCACCATCACCAGCCATGTCCTCCTTACTATTTTACTGTTCTCCATATTACTTTGACCCCGTATTATATTGATGTGATCTAATGTACTGTTTCCATCCACATCTCATCATCGAATGTAGATACTATGAGGGCAGAATTTTTACCACCCCGCCCCCGCAGACATATAATTTGTAAACAGGCACAGAAACAAAATACAAGAATTGATGCTTTTATAATACTGAATATGTTATGCTGTTTTTATTTTACTTTATAGAATATCACCTAAGTTTATTATTTCATCAGCAGACAAGAATATTTGTTTTTCTTACAAAGTTATCCTTCAATTATATAAGCCTTTTTAAGTTGCCGATTTTAATACTTAATTGGTTTTAATTTTTTAATTAACTGGATTTGCTTAACTAAACCATTTTCAAATTTTCTTTTCTGTACAGAATGGATGTTCTGTCATCAATAGATATGAAAATGTTGGTCGACGACTAGCGAATCAACAGAGTCTAAAAAATAGGATTGAATCTGTAAAAACAGGCCTGCTTTTTAGCCCAGATATTGATGAAAGATTGCTAAAGAAAGGTACATTTACACAATACTGTAGAATTTTACTCAAAATTTTAGTTTGTTTCTTTAAGATGAAATATATTATTTTGTGCTCCAGAAGTTTAAAGTTCTCATTTGAATGGTGAAAATATTTGACGTGGCAGTGTAGTTTTCTGCCAACAATTGGAGGATGCTTGTAAATGTCCACACTGGACATTTCTATCTTCAGTGTTTTGGAAATAATACTCAATACCTTCACTTATCATATGTTTAGATACATTTAAACTAGTTAAGACATGAAGTATTCAAAGCATCAACTGGTTTATTCTAGATGCAGAAAAGACGAGGAAATCTGAGGAACACTTACTAACTCCAGATGGACTGGATGGAGCAGGTTCCAGGATGTCTTGGACAGAACCCAGCAATTCAAGTTTTCAAGACATGGGTGCAAGCGGAGCTTCTCCAGTAATGAGCAATCTTGAGGTGAAGAGCTTTTCTTTGGAGCCCGACAATACTGTTGACAACTCACCACTTGTGTCCTGTGAACTCAGACCTTCCACCTTGCACAGTCAACCTGACAGCAGTGTGCTGGGGAGTTCCCTTAGTGGAGATGAAAGTAACCTGACCTCC